TGAATAAGGGCTCCAGTTTCTCCACAACCTCGCCAGCATTTGTTGCTTGCTGTTCTGTTAAATTTTGCTATTCTTACTGTGGTGAGATGGTACCTCATAGTAGTTGCATTTCTTTTTTTTAAAAAAGATTTTTTTTAATTAAAAAAAATTATTTCATTGTTGCACAATTCCCCTGCCCTCCCAGTCCATTTTGCTATGCAGCTCTTATTCCGGACTGTTGCCTAAATATTGTTTTAGGTGAGAGTTTACACACCAAATTACTTTTCCATTAACAATTTACACACAGTTCTCTTACATTGGTGGCCGTTCCCACAGTGTCAGACCTTCCCCAGTTCCAGCCTACGCGCGACATTTGTGTCCCTGCTCTTCCTTCGCTTCACCCCTTCCTTTTGGGCAAATATCCCTTGTTTGGTCTCACACCTTCGACTGTTCTAGGGATCACATTCCTTGTAGCTGTTGTTACTTTTCTAGGTCAGTCTTACTTGGCAGAACGTGACCTCTGGAAGTAACTCAGGTTCTAAGGATGTTTTAGGGAGTTATCATGGATTCCTCCAGATTCCACCAGTCCATTAAGTCTGGTTTTGTTTTGTGTTTTAATAAATTTGCATTTTTGCTGTACCTTTTTCTCCCATTCTAACCAGGATCCTTTGTGTCTCCCTGGCCAAAGCAGTTGTCACCATCTTGTTCCTAAATTTTAATATGGTGGAATCAGTTTTCTCAGAGTCAGCAGTCTTGATACCAGCAGCCAGGAAATCAAAAGACGAACTGCACTGGGAAAATTTGCTGCCAGGCACCTCTCCAGAGTACTGAAGAACAACGATGTCAGTCTAGAGACTAAGGTGCACCTGATCAGGCCATGGTCTTCACAGTTACTTGCTATGCATCAGAATATTTGATGCCTTTCTGCTGTGGTGCTGAACATACCATGGACTGTTAGAACAAACAAGTTTGTCCTAGAGAGTGCGAAACCAGGCTGCTCCTTGGAAGCAAGGATTTTGAAGCTTCATCTGACATACTTTGGGCATGCTGCAAGGAGGGGCCAGTCCTTGGGGAGGGACAGCTCGAGAGAGGAAGGTTCTGGATGAGATGATTGACTTAGTGACTGGGTAGGTATGTAGAGACATTGAGGTTGGCTCAGGATAGAGCAGGGTTCAGAGCTTTTGGCCATCAGGTCGCTATGAGTCTCAGCACATAACAGCAACAAGGGAAGCTGTTATTTGACAAACTGTATAGATGTCCCCTTCACTGTACATCTTTGTTGAAATCCTTTTCTGTGAGATTTGTCATCATTCAAAGTAGACTTGAACTCTGTTGCCCTGGTCCTCCAGCCCTGCTGTCTCTGGGTATTTCTTTAGTATTTACCAGGTTGTGCCCTAATTTTTAGACATTAAGAATTTATTATAAGGGGCTCTGGTGTCATAGTGTGTAGAGCTGTTAGTTCAAATCCACCAGTGGCTCTGTGGGAAACAGATGGGCAGTCTTCTCCTGCTGAGATTTACGGCCTTAGAAATGGGGGTGGGGGGGTTTGCTATGAGTCCGAAGCAAAACTCCACAGTAGGTAGGTTGGTTTAGAGGGCTTTATAGGCCCTGGGTGCTGTAGTGCACGTGTTGGGCTGCCAGTGAAAAGGTCAGCGGTTTGAAGCCACCAGCTGCTTTTAGAAGAAAGATGGGGCAGTCTGCTCCAATCAGGAGTACAGCCTTGGGGACCGTGGGCGCGGTCCTTGTGCTGCAGGCCGTGGAGTCAGAATTTACTCGTTGGCAGTTTAGTTTGGTTTTAGTGGAGAGGTCCCTATTTGTTCCCATTCCCAAGAAGGGTAATCCAACTGAATGTGAAAATTATCAAACATTATCATTGATATCGCATGCTAGCAAAATACTGCTGAAGATCATTCAAAACGGGCTGGAACAGTACATGGATAGGGAATTGCTAGAAGTTCAAGGGGCATTTAGAAGAGGCCATGGCACCAGGGATATCAGATGTCAGATGGATCCTGGCTGAAAGTAAGGAATACCAGAAGAATGTCTATTTGTGCTTTATTGACTATGCAAAGGTGTCTGACTGTGTGCATCATGACAAGTTGTGTCTGACATTGAGGAGAATGGGAATCCCATTGACTGTGCTCATGCAGAACCTATACCTGGATCAGAAGGCTGTTGTGTGACCTGAACAGGGGAGCACTGTAGAGTGCGAATTGGGAAGAGAGTGTGTCAGGGATATATTCTATCTCCATACCTGTTCAATCTGTATGCTGAGCAAATTATCCAAGAAGCTGGACTCTGTGAAGAGGAATGTGGCACCAGGATTGGAGGGAGACTCATCAATAACCTGCGTTATGGAGATGACAAAACCTTACTTGCTGAAAGTGAGGATTTGAAGCACTTGTTGCAGAAAATCAAGGAATGCAACCTTCAGTATGGATTGCGTCTCAGTATCAAGAAAACGAAGATTCTTACCACTGGACCAACAGGCAGTGTCATAGTGGATGGAGAGGAAGCTGAAACTATCAAGAGCTTCATCTTGCTTGGATCCACAGTTAACACCCTTGGTACGAGCAGTTAGGAAATAAGGAGATGCACTGCAATGGGAAAATCTGCATTTAGGGACTTTTCCAGTTGTTGAGGAGTAATGCTGTCAGTTTGAGGATTAAGGTGTATGTCATTCAGGTCATGGTTTTTCCAATTACTATCTATGCATCTGAGACCTGGACAGTGAATAAGGATGAAAGAAAAGAACTGACACCTTTGAGCTGTGGTGCTGGAGAAGAGCACTGAACATCCATGGATGGTGAAAATGAATAGATATATCGTGGAGAGGGTGAAGCAGGAGTGTTCCTTGGAGGCAAGAATGATGAGGTTTCCCCTCATATACTTTGGACGTTATTAGGAGGTGCTATGCCCTGGAGAGGGACATGATGCTGTGAAACAGTGGAGGGTCAGTGAAGGAGAGGAAAACCTTCAGCCAGGTGGACTGACAAGGTGACTGCTGCAATGGGCTCTTTCTTGTGTGTCAGGAAGTGTGAGGAAGGCGCGGCACACAACACGGTTCAGATCTTTTGTTCATAGGGTTGCTATGAGTTGTACTTGACTCGATGGCACCTAACAGCAATGGTCCCAGGGCAGGAGCACCCCCAGGGGCCAGCCTCTGCGGTGCTGCCGGTGTCGGCCCCACGCTCACAGCCACTCTGTCCCCCCGCAGATGTCCTTTGGCCTCCTGCGCGTGTTCTCCATCGTGATCCCCTTCCTGTATGTTGGCACACTCATTAGTAAGAATTTTGCTGCTCTGCTTGAGGAACATGACATTTTTGTCCCCGAGGACGACGATGACGATGACTAAACAGGTAAGAGTCCCCCTCCTAAGGGCCTCAGACCCTTACAGAATCGACCCACTTTTGCTTTGTGCTGTGCTGAACACAGGACAGTCATAAATTCCCTGGGTTCCCTTCCAGCTAGCTCAGAACCCCAGCCAGCATTCTTAGTGGCCCTTCTCTTCATCATCTCAGCCCACGCCTTTAGTCTGATATGCGGTACACTCCCACCACAAACAGCTTCACTTCAGCAGCTCCAAGTGCAGCTCGTTACCCAGGGGACCATCAGTCCAGCCTGAAAGGGGGGACACACAGCCCCTCCCCCACAGGCCATGCTCCCCCACTCAGCTGTCTTGGATTGACTTCCTGTGCTCTGAATACATGCCACTGCCAGACCCCTAGTGTCCAAGAGCTGCATGAGCGGTCAGTACCTGCTCTTCTGCATCCACAACCACACACCTATCCCTAGTGGTCACCATCTCCACAACTACCTGCCCCATGCATTGGCTCACTGCCCCTTTTCCACTGTCCTTTGTACTAATTCCGCCCATTCTCCAGGGCCCACACTGAACTGTTTTTGAAGGAAGTCTTTTGTATGCTTCCCTCTGTTTGAAGATGACTACTGCTCCTTCCTGATTGGTCAGTACCTTGTGACATTTATCATGTGTGTTAAAATACACACTCTCACACTCACTCCTCAACCCTACTAGACAAAGAGCCCCTTGCTTGCAGGGAATGTATTTCCTACACCGTTGGGGCCCAGTGCCTTGACTGGGGTGAGCGCTCAGTGAACGTGTGCGTAGGGGTCAGGTGGAGTTGGAACTTTCTCCCATGGTGCTTGATGGGCCGGCCCACACTCTGGGGCCCCTTCAGGACGTGTCTGCATGGCTGCGTGCTTGCCCAGGTCACGGCTGTTTTCTTTCTTACAGGGCGTGAAGCACAGAAAGGAGGCGGCTCTGACGGAAGCAGTGGTGGCGTTCTTGACCTCTCCTCCCCTCAGCAGAAGGCCCAGCGAAGGCCCTGCATGGTTCATGACTGTCACCGAGATCCCAGACTCTGGGGGCTTCCCTGTGAAGTGTCGCCCGCTGAGCACTGAAAACAAGTGATCTAATTATGAGTAAGCATAATAAATGTCAGCCTGGTGTGAGCCAGTGACGGGCTCTCAGCGGCTGAAGGCTCTGTGGACAGTCTCTTGGGCACCGTGTCTTATCTCTGCTGACCTTCCTCCAAGCAGCCGAGCAGGTGGGCCACTGATTTATAATCCAGGCAGAATCCACAGGGGAACCGTGGGGCCGGGCCTGTTTTCATTATTGACACTTCTCCCTGTCACTCTACCAGTCTGGAACAACGGCAGGAATAGTTCTGTTCTCTGTGTGAGCACGGACCAGCTGTGTCCCTAGCAGGGTGTCTGATGGAGAAGGAAGTGGATTTCATTTTCAGGATGGTGTCTGTTGTGAATATTGGGTCCAGGCCTCTGAGCTGTCATTCTCCTCGGTGCTCAGGGGCAGTAGGCCCAGCTTGTCAGCACGGCTTCCTTGCTCTCAAGCACTGTCTTGGTCCCTGACAGCGAGAGCCGGCTAATTTTGGATAATCTGTGCCCTGACACCAAGCAGTCCAATCCTGGAGGCTGTAAAAATACAGCTAAATTAACCGAGCCATCCGGCCTCACACCCAGGATGACAGTTTCTGAGCAGATGGCCTCATCCTTTCCTGTTTACCGACATGCAGCGCTCTGAGAGAAAGACTCCAGTCTCGTTTACGGGAAACACCACACTTCAGGAAAAGGGAAAGAACAGGTGGTGTGTACACCCAGACCCCACTTGTTCAAGCAAGAAGTGAGAGACGCTGCAGAAACAGAGTTTCCCGACAGAACGCTGTCAGGAACTGACCACCACAGGATGCGTTTATTTGCGCTCTAAGAATTAAATATCACATGCACCTCCCACTGAGTGACTTCAGGGGTCGTGGCCAACATGGAACTTAGACAGGAAGTCCTTTGGCCTTGGCTCTTCTGTTTCATGGAAGAACCGCATGATGTGTGTCCGCTGCTTCCACACGTGAATCGTTTCCTCCAGTTCCATCTTGCCCTGCACAGGTGAGGAGGAGGCGCAGGTCAGAGTGGGCCGGGGTGCTGCTCTCCCTCAGGCCCTGACTCGGGGCCACGTACTCTAGATTCTTGTGTCCAGACTCAATGACTCTGAGGCCTTCCAGATACCGCTCGGCTTTGGCTCCCTAGTTCCCAGGTCTCCAGGCCTCCACCCCTTGACTGCCTGTTCTTGTGGGCTGACTTCTGCCGTCAGCATTTCCTCCCTGCTCATGATAGGTCTGGGATGAAGGTTCCATTGATGCTAACGGGAGTGGCCAGACAACCAGCATCAGGCCCCATGGAGCCGCAGGGCTGCCTGCCTGCCTCCAGCACCGCCCAGGTCAGAGGCCCACCTTCTCCTCCCTTTATCTTTTCCTGTTATACAGTTCAAGCCCTGGTGGATTTCCCTGAAACACTCTAATAATTCGTTTAACCAGCCCCTGAGGTCACTGGCTCCTTTGAGTCACCAAGCAGTAACTGCTGAGCGAGTAGCTGCTTTTTAAATTCGTAGGTAAAATGTCCAGCCGGGAAGACTGGCGTGCACTGGACAAGTTGGCTGCACTTCTGACCTGGGGAGGAAGACCATTTACCTTGATGACCAGAAGATCGACCACCCGGGGGTCTGTGACGTGCGTGTTCTTCATGAACATTTCTCGGACTTTGTCTCGTCCCTGTTTCACGGTGATGTCGAGCTGGAATAAGTGCACTAGAGAGAAAACATTTCAGTGTCAAAATGCAAGTTAGAAAGTGTTTATAAAAACTTGGGTCAGCGACATTGACTGAACAGCTACAGCTGTCCCACTGTCCGGTTATGACACGCTGGCCTCTCCCTGAGCCGGGCACTCAAAGATGTGAGGTAACAGGAGACAGCACCTCACAGGAGGTTGGGTGGGGGACAAGATCACAGCATTTAAACAGGCAGCTGGCACAGCTATAGGAGTCAGTAAAAGCAGATGACAGGTTGAAAGTCACACAAGATGATGTGCAGGCTTTAAGCACCAGGAAGATGGAGATGAGGGGACTTCTGCCGCCTTTCCCGCTGGGAAGCCTTCAACAGGCAGCCAGCCAAGTCACATGAGGTGACCTGGGGACAGGAGAGAGACATTCAAGATGTAATTCCCGTCCATGTGGTCTAAAAGTCTATGAAGTGTCTCAGTATGGCCAAGACCTGGGACTTCAGGGGAACATGAAGCTCTTTGAAAACTGGGCTTTCATCCTGTCAGCCTTCAGTGGATGTGCGGACAGTGACAGGTACAGGGCAGCGAGGAGCACAGCGGGCTGTGTGGACAGGGGAGGGCTGCAGAAGGGGGGCTCAGGTCAGAAGGGCCGTCCTGGCTGAAAGGGGCCAGAGTGCTGATGAGATTGAGCAGATGAGGACAGCGGAGCTGTGGCCATTTCTGACCTGTCCACTCGAGTCTACAGGCCGCCACAGCAGCTCTGAGAATTGGGAGGGCTGTGAGTGAGTGGCTGCATGAATCGATAATAAAACTTGGAATCTTTAATTATAATTCAGGGAGCAGTGAGAGAAAATAAAAAAACTGCGGAGAGAAATCCTATACCATGTGAAGACACATCGGGGAATAAGCGATCGCAGAAGTGGACCCAGCACCTCAGTTTGACAGTGTTATCAGGGAGGGGCGCTGGCATTAGAAGGAGCACAGCACCCCGCAGTGCGGGAGGCGGCTTGTGGGCAGGGCCTGCCAGGTACAGCTCTGCCCATGACCTCATTAGGTGGCTTCAAATCAACCACGGTGGCAGTACTGACACAACAGAAACTGGCAAACACGACTAGTTTCCTTCCAGAAAGCTAATTACTAAACACTGTAGAACCTCCAGTGACTGAGCGTCAGGGGGACTAGAGCGTGTCGGAGACGGTGAGGCAGACAGCACAGGGCTCACCCTGTTGCCCTCAGGGCTGCTGTGAGTCGTAGTTGGTGTGATGACCGCTGATGGCCTCGTGGGGGAGGTGAGCCGCCATCCCAGAGCCACCAGCTGCTCCTCAGGAGAAAGACGGGCAGTCTCCTCCGTGCGCTTTACAGCCTCAGAAAACCTCGAGTCAGCTGTGAGTCGGTTCTGACTCCGAGACGACGAGGGGAGTTCACAGCTTGTATGTTAGGAATTTCAGATCAGGGTAAGACGACAGAGAGGTAAGTACAAGTACAGACTAGTGTGGACTTGGGATCTTAGCACTGGGGTGGAGTGAGGCCTCGAGCGCAGCAGTGAACGTTTTTAAACTCAGCTGGTTCCTGCAAACATGGGCCTAGACCTGAAGTTGTTTTCATTTACGTTCAGGTGCTCCTTTAAAGGACAGATTTTGAAGAACATTTGCTTCGCTGTATCAGTTCTCATCATGTGCATTTTATATTGGATTCCTGCCCAACCTTGGGAGAAAAACAAGGTGTCGCCGGCCGTTCGTCCAGGAGCTGGAGCCCCTGCTCCAGACTCCTCCATCAGGCAGGGTGCATGTCTCCTCCTCAGGGAACGCCTGCACAAATGCAGCGTCTGTGGACAGGGTCAGAGGGTTCCGGTTCCTGGAACGTGCATCCTCTGAGGCTGTGGCAGCCCTTCCCTAGGAAGAGGCTCCTCAGCCCTGCCCAAGGTTTCCTCCTGTCGAATCCAGGCCGTCACTTTCCACCAGTGAGAACGGCCGTGAGGAGCCCACAGGAGCAGCTGAGGCCCTGGCCTTCAGGATCCCGTGGTCTAATTCAGTGGGCCTCACGCTCCCTGTGACAGCAAATCCATGTGATTCTGAAGATCAGCGCCCTGTGCAAGTTCACCAGGGCTCCCTTAAATCCCTGCTTCTCCAACCTGGGATGACTCTGTCCACTTTGCAATGTTGGCAGACATTTTTGATAGTCACGCCTAACGGGGAGTGTGCTTCTAACATCTACTGAGGAGAGGCCAAGGATGATGTTAAACATCCTACAATGTATAGGGCTGACCTCCACAACCAAGAACTGTCCACAAAATGCCACTGTCAAGAAACCCTGGTGTACATCAACTTCAGCTGTGTCTACTCAAGTCAGAATCCTGGTTTATTCTTTGAATCCTTAATATTTAACTTTCACACAAAGCTGGCCGATGACTAGGGATGACAGAAGGTGAATTGATGCTTTTGATCTGTGGTGCTGGAGAAAAATATTGACTATACCATGGACTGCTAGGAGAATAAACAGATTCATTCTAGAGAGGGTGAAACCAGGCTGCTCCTTGGAGGCAAGGATTCTGAGGCTCCATCTGAAATGCTCTGGACATGTTGCAAGGAGGGACCAGTCCTTGGAGAGGGACATCATCCTTGGGAAGGTGGAGGGACAGCGCAAGAGAGGAAGACCCTCAATGAGATGGACTGATTCAGTGATTGGGGTAATGGGGAGGTAGTAGGGGTGTCAGAGACAATAAAACTGGTACAGGATAGAGCAGGTTTAGGGCAGTTGTAGATTGGGTCGCTGTGAGCCGCTGGCAACGCGACAGCACATAACAACAATCTGAAACCCCAGACACTATGCAACCACGAGGTGTAAGGGAAGCATGAAACAGGTTATTAGGCCAAATAACTGGCATCTCTCTTGAATCGGTGGCTGTTAACCGGTTGCAAGCGCTCATTCAAAGACAATCATTAGTTGACTAGAGCATGGAGGAAGGAGCGTCAAGAATAGGAGGAAATGGAATCTGGAACCAACTGCCTCTAAACAACTTCCTTTGTCAGGAAAGCAGAAGAAATGGATGCCAGTGAGCTAACATTCCAGAACATTCTACAGTGTTCAGTAGACTCTTGATCAAAAGGGAATGAACTTGATATTCTAGAGTCATAGAGGCTGGATGAGCCCCCCCAGTTCTACCCTGTGATAATCTTTAAACCTTAAACTCCCCTCAAGTCATCTTTAAACCAAGTACTAGTTTAACTTTACTGAGGAAGAAAGCTTACACAGCCTGAAGAATCTAACCCATCCTTGCATCCCACGTGGGGAACCCGCGGAATCACTGATGGGCCAGGGGTGTGTATTCTCAGAATAACAAAAAATATTTTTAAAAAATTATTTCTGATGAAAAGGAAAAAAAGAAAATCCCAGTTGGATGCAGCCAATTCTCCAGTCTCCATGCACTTTCTCAGAGTAACGTAAGGATTCCTGGATCTGGAAGGTGCTGAAAAGACTAGGAAGAGAGACACAGGTCATCTGCTGGCCCAGTTCATTCTGGCAGCAGCACTCACACCAGGCACGGGGAGAGAACCCCAGCGGGAGGCAGCAGGGGTACCATGTCGAGGAGCACGGGCTCAGGGCCAAATAAAGCTGTGTCAGGTCTTCCTGCCATTAGGACACACCTCCTCACCCTAGCTCTGCATCTGAACAGACAGCAAAGGAAAGAACCTCTGACTTCTTTGCAGCGACCTGGAGAGCATCAAGTGACCGCCTCACTGGGGAAGCATGAAAAGTGCTAGAAAAACATTCACTATTTTCTGGTAATCAATTACACTGGGTTTATTTTCTAGTTAAAGGACTACAGCCCTGTCTAGACTAACAAAATCCTTAAAGGCAAAACCGTATCTTACTCCTTTTTGTCTCCCACTAGGCTTATAGTAGGGAGCCTTGGCAGCAGTAGGGGTGGCACCCCGCTCTTGGTTCAAATACACCAGTGTCTCCTCAGCAAAGTGGGGTTATCTCCTCCCGTGCAACATGCCTCTAAATACCCTCTGGAGGGACAGCCATGAATTGGTTCCAACTGCAGGTTAATGAGTTTGAGTTCTGAGTTTGAGGTATCTAGTGTTATAATGTAAGAGTTGCCCAGAGAAATGGATACCAAATGAATGAAGGAAAACTTCACGGAGTGAAGAGGAGAGGGAAGCTGCCTATTGTTATCTTGTGGTCATAGCCAGCATGTAACATTTCTTCCAAAGAAGGAACCCCCAGACTGACAGCACCTGCTCAGACCACTGTAGAACTGGGTGGGGGAGGCTCACAGAGCTAGATGATCAAGGATGAACATCTGGCTCTTGTGCTTGCGAGCCGTGTGACTCAAGCCTCAGTTTCTTCATCTGTAAGATGGAAACAACTAGAGTGCACCCTCAAACTAGGCAGTATGAAGTAAGGTGCAAGGCTGAGTAAGCATTTCAGTAAATGCTAGTGATCGTCACTGCTATCCAGGACCTCTTAGCACTCCTGGAGTCCCAGTGACGGACAGCAAGACACCAGTGTAGCCACAGGCCCAAGCATTCCACCAGCTACTTGATTATTAGCCCTACACGTGAGGGTGTCACCCCCATCTCCAGCCCCACACCCCACAGCTCCTGTGACCCCTGCGTTCTCTTCTTCCTCTAAGGACTCTTTGAATTCTATTCCCAAACAGTACTTTAGGGAAGGTCCTGGGAATGAATTGTGGGGATGCTTTAGAAACAGCTGGATATGGGGTATCAGGATACCTGGGTTCTTGCTCCAATTCAGTGACTAATTTTCACCCTGCGCAAACCACCCCTCCCAAATCTGGACCTAATTTGCCCCTACACCTCCCCCAAACATGAAAGGTTCTGGGCATTCACAGAAGTGTTCTGCCAGCTGGAACCTTACATTTTTAAACATCTAAATTTGAAAATACATTTCATTTCTACCATCCCGCCTCCACATGAATTATTCACTTGCTCTCTGAGGCATCTGAATTTGCAGGCCGTGAATGAGCAGATCATGCAAGTCTCTCTGTCCCCTGTCTATGGTAAAGTAGTGTACTGTAGGTTTAAGTTCAGGTTAAGGTGTAAGTTCTGGTTTAAGTTGTAGGTTTAAGGTGGCTACCTTGTCAAAAGTGAACTTCCTGAGCGCACTCTGTAGGGCACACACAGTCCCCATGAGTCAGGCTCCTGCCAGGGTCTACCTACTAAACTGTTTGGTGCTGTCAAGTCATAGTGGCCCCAAATACAAGAGGGAAAAACCCCTCCTGGTCCTGTCAGGATAAGCCCAATAGAATAACAAAAACAGTAGCAGTAGGAAGCAACCTTCAATGACTGCTTACTAAGTGCACAGCTCTGTTCCAAGCACTTTGGAGTATGAACCTATTTAATAGAGCTACACTCTGAATAGGGACACAGAAAGAGGAACAACTTGCCTAAGGTCACAAAACTAGTAAGGGGCAGAGCCTGGGGGCGAGTCTGTGTCCCTAATGGTCACATTCTTTTGCCTCACGGCCTGCCAGGCTCCTCAGATTAGCAGTGAAGACCCACGTTAGAAAACATTACACACTGCCCTTGACAGCACAGAAGGCCCATCTTAGAAAACATTAAATAAAGGTCTGGACTGCAGAGAGAGCGCAGAGGACACAGGGACACAATGAGGGGACGCCGAGATAGGAAGCTAGCCTCTGTCCTCTGAGAGCCACTGGTTCCTGCCCCACCAGGTCCTCCTGACATCGAAGTGAAGGCGGGGGTGCTGAGAGGAAGGGGCCAGCCCCGAAGATGGGGTGCGGGAGGAGAAGCAGATGGGCGCAGAACGTCCCGGGGGCAATGTTAGCGTCGGGCAGAGCTGGAGACGCTGCCCTGGTGATGCAACGGCTATGTATACACTTGCAAACCAACAGGTCGCGGGTTTGAACCCACCAGCCGGCTCCCCAAGACAAGATGCGGCGGGGGGAGGGGTGTTTCTGCAGAGATCACCGCCTTGGAAACCCTAGGGAGCAGCGCTATTTCCTCCAATGGGGTCACATAGCTGAGCTGGGGCGCAGGGCCCCCGAGGCTGCCTTCCCTGGAAGAGGTACCACCAAATGCCCTTGGAAATGGCATCAACTCTCCTCCGGCTCGGTTTCCGACTCCACGCTACCTACCGAGATCTGCAAATGTCCCCAGGGCCTCTAGAGGGGACTTTCTGTTCCAAATCCCCCCCGGGCTGGTCTGGGCGCGGGCGCGACCCTGGCCGCTCGGGACCTCAGCGGCCTCACCTGCTCAGGTCGGACCTGACAGGTCCCGCCCGTCCTCCCGGGACCAGAATGAAAACAGGGACCCAAAGGCACCCGGCGCCGAGGGCCCCACAAGCGCTGCACGGACGTGGTCCGACGGGGCGAGTCCACCATGACCCCGGGTGACCTTCCTCCCCGGAACCACGCGGAGTCCCCCTGCCCAGGCCGGTGACCTCAGCTCCGTCCCGGAGCAAGCGGAGGACCGGGTGCCCGCGACCTTGGGCAGCTGCTTCCGTGGCCCCGCCGCCTCTCACCTGTGTTCGGCACCTCCCGATACCAGGCACGGTAGAGCTCGCGCACCCTCCGTTTGGCCTCGTTCATGTCCCGGCTGAAGATGGGTTTCACGGAGGTGCGGGCCGCCGAAGCAGCCTGCCGGAGCCCGCTCGCCGCCATCTTGCCGTGCAACTCACCTCCCGGCCCAGCCCCTTCTCAATCAAGTCTGCGCCGGAGGCCAACAGTCTCTTTTTATTGGCTAACCTTGACCGCCACGCCCTTAAGTGGGTGGGAAGAGAATCAGAATATCTGATTGGCTAGGAATTAAGTTTGCGCGTGCGCCCTGCAGAAACGCAGGCTCCGTGCTACTACGTCCTACTTGTCTCGCTGAGAAGCCCGCGCCACCTCCAGGGGGCGCGCTGGCGCCGGGATGGGTGCTGGTCAAACGGCTCCAGCTCCAGCCGCTCCTGCCCCGCCTCCACCTGCTCCGGCCTTTGACAGCTCCGGTCATGACACGCGGGCCTCCAAGGGCTTCCTCAGTCACCTCCCCGGGACTGGGACATGGGCCGTGAAGCGGCGACTGGGGCAAATAACGGCAACTTGGCCGCCATGACTCTGGCCTAGTTCCTCTGAAGTCTTTTGCAATATTTATTCTTGGTGGGTTTTTTTCCCTTTTTTTTTTTTTCAATTTTAATAAAAGTTTACAAAGACTTAGGTTTGCCAGACATTCACTGTTGCACTTTTCTTCCTGCCCACCCCCTCCCCCCCAATTCACTCTTCTTGAAAACTTAGTCAAACTCTTTTCATTGTTATGCAATCCACGCCCCAAGTCCACTCCACTGTGCAGCCTTCACTCTGGACTTCATATATCCCTTGTAAACAGTTGTATCCCTCATCTGTTTCAATGCAATATACATAATTTCTCCCCTCCTTTTCTGTCTTCCCTCAACCCTGATGTCAGTCCCGATTTACAACAGTGGTCCTATGCAATATTTGTCCTTTTGTAACTGAAATATTTCACTAATCATAATGTCCCCCAGGGTCATCCATTTTGCATAATATTTCATTAGTTCCATGTTTTTCAATGCAGCATAGTATTCCATTGTGTGAATATACCATAGCTTCTCTATCCATTCATTTGTTGCTGGGCACTTTGGTTGTTTCCAGCTCTTTGCTATTGTGAACAAAGCCGCAATAAACATGGGTGTGCATATGTCTTCTTTGGTGGCCGTTATGGTTTCTTTAGAGTATATTCCCGGTAGTGGAATTGCTGGGTTAAATGGTATTTCTATTTGCAACTTTCTGAGAAAGTGCCATACAGCCTTCCATAGTGGTTGCACCATTTTACACTCCCACCAACAGTGAATAAGTGTTCCAGTTTCTCCACAACCTCATCAGCCAGATGTTTGCTGCTCTATTGATTTTGCTATTCTTACTAGATATCTCATAGTTGTTTTGATTTGCATCTCTCTTAGAGCTAGGGATTTTGAACATTTCTTCATGTGTTTTGTTTGCCATCTGAATGTCTTCTTTGGTGAAGTGTCTGTTCATATCCTGTGCCCATTTT